CGCCATGACTGCACTACCAGATCTGCGCTATCAGCGTGCTGTTTGTTAGAGCCAACTGTCTCAGCTGTTGGATATTGTATCTCATGTCAGTGCTGTCTGGAGAGGGGTGCTTGTTTAGTGGTGATACAAAAAGATCAATGGATGGTTCCAGCCAAATAAAGATTGAATAGTTCCATGGCAATCTTAAAAGATTTTGTCTGAGTCTGTGATAGAATCCCACTAATGTGCTTTCATTCTAAAGTGATGATGTGCATTGAACACTGGTCCAGAATTTCCACTGTAATTCGGTGCCTCCACCCTTGTTGAGGAGGTTAACCTTCAAGGTATTGTTGCACCAAATACCCTTCTGGTTCAAATGTGGCAGAAAGGTTAAGTAGGCCAAATGAACCATCTTGAATTATTCCAATTGTCTGGCTATCTGAGATGTGCTCCAGAGACACTGGATCTGGTGATCCATAATATGTGTACCAAGTCAGCCATCAAAATGGACACTGTAGGTAGGGGTGTATGAGAGGTATTCTGGCTACCAGGTGATCAGGTACGGTTCTCCAAACTAGCACCTTCCTGCACCTGAATGAGCAGTCTATGTACTGGGGTTTCTGCACATAAGTATACAGACAGAGAGATCAGCAGAAAGTTTTGTAATGTTCTGGTGTGCAGTGTGGCCTGGCATTCACTGACTTCAACATGTTGACCACCTTCATTAGTTTCTGAAGTGTATGCATTGGCTAAGAAGTATTGACTGAGTATGTCAAGTTTGGGATTGTCTCCAACAACGACTTGCGCATATTGACTACACTAATGATCTGAGGAATGCTACAATGAACTCAATGAGTGTTCTTCTAGATTCTCCCTTCGATGATCGTTGAGAAACCGGTCACTATGTATGCCCCGTGGTTATGATTGCCCTTAACATAGGCAGATAACTTTGGTTTGGCAGTGGGAATCATCAGGCATATTCATAAAGCACAAGGCATTTACTGTCAAAATAGATTTTGTCTCTAAAACTTTCGCCATTTCCCCATCAAATAACTTTGGAGACCAGAAGTCTGTTTTTGACAAATCCAAGCCAGCAGATATATAAGAAAAATCAGTGTGGTGGAAAGTTGCTGCTCTGGCCCATGCATATTCATAAGCAAAGCATGATTAACTAATTAGTCTAGATCAGCCACACCACAAGTAAATAAAGTCTTGACAGCAATTTAGACTCAATTGAAACAAAAAAACTATGCATGGTAAGAAATAAGGCAGGATACATCTGGCAAACCTATCTTTCTATATGTGTGAAAGTTTCATAATCGACTGATGTGCAAGTAAGGCGAGAGAGTGCAGATCTTGACACTAAAGTGAGAGATCAATCAACATAGTCTGACACTCCATTTTCAAAACATGACGAATGTATAGACAGTATGAGATGATGGCCTGAAGCTGGCATTTGCACATTCACATGATCTAATCCAGGTTGACAGTTATTATACTGTAGAAATAAAATACCCAGGTAGCTGATGGGTGAAATAAATGTGGCCAATCAAAGTCCAATCTAATACATGTAATATGAGGACCCCAAGGGCCACCTCCATGTTGAAGTGCAGTCATAGTATCAACCAAACAAACTGCACCAGGTCCTATATCAATAATCTATCCTTGGCACAAGAAAGAGGATCTGACTTTGTCATGGTTACTCTACTCTTTCAATGATTATGCAGAAGATTCAGAAGATTTTCAGAACCATGACGACTAATGTATTTTCACAAGATGGATGAAGGCCTCCTATAATCTAAATATCTGACAGCGATAGATGTACTTATTACCCACTTTGTTAATAAGCAAGAAACTACTAAAAATAATCTGAGATGATCACAGACAGATTAATTCACATTAGGATTTATAGAAATGTAGGTTTCCAATGCGATTTTGTGATCATATCGCAGGTCACATGAGTGATTCCATTTATGATGTTTATTGCACATAACACACTTGCATACCAACATATTATAAATTAATTTATCAATAGTACACATAGTGTGACTTTTAAACTTCTCTTTATTTACACGTTGCTAAAAATACATTTTTAATAGTTAAAATACATGCATTATAATAATAAAAGAAAACAGTATGTCTTTCTGTGGTACTGGTACATCTCATTGACACAAAAGAGTATTTTACAAGTATTTACAGGAATACAACCAGATACAATAAACAATATATTATTACCATGGCAACAATGTTTGGTTATGACCCAGAATGATGAAATATTATCATTGTCAAATACTACAACATGCTGTACTGAATTCACTTAATTTACTAACAGTATATGAATTCCTCTCTTAAACAAGCAATGCATGACAACGTCCCTGTTAGTTATCAAATTTAGGATACATAGTTATGTATATAGTTTTGTTTATACATGTAGTAATATAGTTGGAACATAAACATGTCAGAGATATGAATCAAGAAGCTAGTGCTTGATTATGATGTTTGACATTCAGTTATTTTGTATCTGAAAATCAAATGAGTACTTGTCCATATTGAGAGATAATGTTCTGCGCAAGCATAAATTAAAACAAAATGGCCAATACATCTGTATATCTATGACATAATGTATAACGAATATATAAAATTTTAATATAATCAGTCGAAGATTGTTAAAGATATGGCCCAAAGACTGCATTCATTAAAACAAAATGACTGCAGTTAGCCATTTTTAATCTGATCTGTGAAAAACCAAATGTTGTACATCAGGGAACCATAATGTATAATGTATGTACCAAGTTTGAACAAAATCCATCTATAAGTGACCGAATCTGGTTCTAGAATGCCAGAAATGCTTGATTTTTAGCACAAAAATGGCCACCATTCGGCCCTTTGAATCCATTGATCAGTCAAATACACTGTTTATCTATGACATGATGTAAAATGACCGCTAGTCAGCCATTTTGAATCTGATCTGTGATCTGACCAGGGAGACATAATGTCTAATGTATGTACCAAGTTTGAATAAAATCCATCTGTAAACAGCCGAGATTTGGTTCCAGAATGCCAGAAATGCTTAATCTAAATGATACTTCAGCACAAAAATGGCCACCATTCGACCATCTTAAATCAAATCAAGTAACAAATTGATGTGCATATGTATAATATTATGTAAGATGTATGTACACATATCTGATCTGATTTTATTTCATCTTGGATACTAAGTGTATAAAAACTGGTACATTCATAGGAGAATATATGTGCCCTGCTTGATTTGGCCCAAACGTCATTAAATGGAGTTATATACCGATATACTGCACCAACACAAATGACTATGGTTACTGTGGCAAACTATGTTATATATACTATACATACAATACAAGAAAAATCGGGAAAGACTAGTGAAATTTAATGGAAAGAATTTTTATGTCTCTTGGTACAAAAGTTTCATTTAGTTTCATTAAATGACTAAAAACACACATAAAAAGTCTTTAAAACATCACAATAATATGCGAGATATATCTATTTAATTATGCTATTATTATTAATTTAAATATCAGTTCATATTGTCCATCACATGGTAATGTTCTATCTACAATATATTTCTTTCTC